CCTCCACATTACTCGCTCAATGTGCGCAATTACCTAAATGAGACGTTTCCAGGACGCTGGATAGGACGAAGAGGTGCAATTGAGTGGCCCCCTCGGTCACCCGACTTAAATCCTTTAGATTTCTTTCTCTGGGGGCACATTAAAAGCAAAGTTTACAGCACTCCACCTGATACCTTGGAAGATCTGCGAGGACGAATCATTAATGTATGTCGCGAAGTAACACCGCAAGTGCTCCAGAATGTTCGACAACGGTTTGAAGACAACCTGTATCATTGTATGCAAGTTGGCGGACAACATTTTCAGCATTTACTTGACTAATACCGTAAGTTTTGAAGTAAAATTAAATCGATTTTCGCATTTCTCGTCAAAAATATTGTTCGTATTTTCAAAGCTGCATATTTTCTAAAATAATGAATCGATTTTCAAAAAGTAAGAATCGATGTATAGAGAATTAAAAGCCCTTTCTAATGACCCCCCACTTGACCCCCATTCCCATTTGAAAAAATTTAGGGGATAGCACCCCCACTTAGGGGGTTGAAGATTTTGGTATGCTTTTTGAGCCAAAAGTTGTCCTCCTCAGAAACAAATTTGACCTGTTTTTGGATTTTGCCGAAAAGTTCTTTACTACCCTGTAATGCCTTGCGGTACGTTTTCGATGGGCTACCCTGTATAATGTTATATTCTGGAATAAGGCATTCCTACGAATGGGTAATAGAGAAGATGAACAATTTTTATGAAGCAATTTGTGTTCTAAAGTGTCATGTATTCCAGATACTTAATCAAGGATTATTACGCCAAACTTAGTCCGACCCTGAATCACTCCACTTAATCAACTCACCATCTATTTACAATGCAGTAAATTTTTATTTATTTTTATACTCTCTTATAATTAATGTGGTGGGTTCATGTACCAGAAAAATCAAGGTAATTTTCATGCACGCCACTGTTCTTGTTACGTAGTGTAGTGATATTCCTCTCCATAATTACAACAATTATTCCCAGGGGTACATAAACTTAAACAGTTTCCATTGTATTTAAAACAAGAAAGTTATTGATATAGGTTTATTGACACCCTATATATTTCCATTGCAAAGTATTTTTTAATGTAATTTTAAATTTTTTAGTGTCATCCCCCTTCGTGGTATTTGTCTGTGGATTTTCAACTGTACATTATGACAGTAATCACAATTTATTTTATTTTAAAATATAAACTGGATGAGTTTAAAACAGTTGGCTTCCTAATATTTTTTTCCTGTATGTTGTACGGATCTGTCATATACGTCAGTGATACGGATATAATCTGGAGGCTCAATGTAAAGTAAGTACTTTGGAAATGCGAATTTCTGAGTCAATAGTAGCAAATACAGAATTATGAAAATGACTGTCTTGGTACAATATTAACAAAGATTAATATAAATACTACAAAATATATGTTTTAATCGACAGTACTTTGAAGAAAAACATGCTTTTTTACTGGGAATCGTCAAGGATATTATACTCTTCAACATATTCCAGCTGGACTACAAGCTTGGTCGGCATGTTATTGGGAATTATATACACAAGATATAAGAATGGCCGTAACGTCAGTAACAAAGTAAGTTTATTTACGAGGGTAAATCAAATATAAAAGGGACCTTCTTTTAAAAAAATTATTTATTGAAAAATAAAAGGCATATATAATTTATTTTTCTACATAGCTTCCTGCTTTAGAAAAACATTTTTCCCAGCGACAAGGAAGGTTTTTATGGCAGCATCATAGAATAATTCTGGTTTCGTCAGCAGACAATGCGCACGAATCTCTCCTTACCCCGTCAATCGTCGCCCTCCTAAAGCTTCTTTAAGCTGCCAAAACAAATGAAAATCGCACGGCGATAGGTCTGGACTATAGGGAAGATGATCATGTTGAGTTCAGTGCATTGTTCGAGTTTTGAGACCATTAGAGCTTCAGTATGGGGCCTGGCGTTGCCATGGAGGAGTATGACCTCTCAAATCCGTTGGTCTTGCCTTACGCGGAAATACGCAACCCGCACCTCGTTCAACAACTCGCAGAACTAAGCAGCATTTATTATACGTCGCTCATATAAAAAATCTGTGAACAAAATTGCTCCCCGCCGCGCCGCCGGTCGAGAAAAACGGTTGAAAGAAAGAAGAAAGGCCGCCTTTCCTTTCCTCCACGACTCCAATCTGGCTTATTTCGACTCGGAAATGTAGTGGTGGACTCATGTTCCGTCACATGTGACGATCCGACTTAAAAATGCACCACCTTGTTTCGCAAACCTTGCTGTAAACCTCTGACAGACCTCTCAACTTCTGATCTATGGTCAAAAGACGAGGTATCCATCTGGCACACACTTTACGGAACTGTAGTTCGTTTGTGATGATCGCTTGACAGCTCCCATAACTTACTCCCCCCTGCTCTGCAATTTCAGCTGCTCTCATCCGTCGATCGTCTTCAAGAATGTCTTTGAACTGGGTGAATATTTTTATTTCAATGTTTTCAATCTCCGGAAAATATCCGTCACTTGAACTCCTCCAACAGCAAGAAATGTTATAATTATGCGTCGCGCCGTGGAAAGGTGCATCTGCTGCTCTGGCATTGTCAGCGTTGCTGATGTGATAAATTAGCTGGAAGTGTGGAATCGCCAGATCTCCTAACTCCTAATGACCCCACCCAAGCAAACAAGGAGCGCAGGCCCCAACCGTAGTTGCTCACGAACAAAAAGCCCGTTTATATTTGATTTACCCTTTTGTGTAAGTACAATTCACGCCCTCTGGGACAACAAGGCAAAATTATTCGACAAGCGGACCTACTAGATAGTTTAAGGACTTTCAGTTATCACATTACTTTTTTTTGGGAGGGGGGTGGAGGGGAAACCACTTGGCACCCAGGGCTAGGATCTATCGCCCCGGGTAGTGTCGGGCGCAACTCCGACAAAAACCCCTCCTCTCTTCTAATGTGATACTTGGAAACTGCCTTTTCAGGCATTACTTCAAATTCACTTCTGTTTCTTAAACCCCCTCTTGTCTTTCCTCTCTCTCCTTGATACTCATAATTTTACTTAACATTCCATTTATTTCCTCCCACACTGTTCTGCTTCTGAGCATGTTCCCCACAGGTTCTCGGGAGTAACCTCTGTTCCTACTCTCAAATTCATCCTCGCTCTTTCTCTTGCCCATCTCTCGCAGATAAACACTGTATGTTCGACAGTATCTGTTGCCCCGCAATATACACACGTGTTCTCTCGGGACAGCTTAAACCTGTACAAATACGCTCTGTAAGCACCGTGCCCGGTGAGTACTTGGGTCAGGTAGTAATTCGTTTCCCCGAATTTTCTGTTGACCCATGTTCTTAGGTCCGGTATCAGTCTCCTCGTCCAGCTTGCCACTTCCGTTTCCCTACTCCATCTGTCTTGACATTTGTCGAGGATGTCCTCTCTTCTCTCCGCCGCCGTCATCTCTGTCTCCCTCCTTAACGTCCTTTATCTGACCTTAAGGTCGATGGGAATATCGTCCGCAACGACTTGCAGCGCCGCCGTCGATGTCGTCCGGTAGGCGCTGCATATTCTAATCGCCATTCTCTTTGAATTTGCACCAGGGCTGTATTATACTTCTTATATCTCAGGACTGTCCCCCATATTGGCGCAGTATACAGCATTTTAGAGTAAACCGCCATGGCTAGTAGCTTTCGCTTTGAGCTTCCAGGCCCTCTCACGTTAGGGAGTAAGCCATACATCCTCCTCATTATCGCACCGACCTTCTCTTCTATGTTTCTTATATGGTACTTCCAATTGATGTTTCTACCTATTTTAACCCCCAGGTAGTTTATCTCTTCCCTTGACACGATATTGGTATCTTCCACTTCAAGGTAGAAATCCCTGATTTTCCTCCTGCCCACCAGTACAACCAGCTCTGTTTTTTCCATGGCCACCTTCAGGCCCTTCTCTTCCAGAAGTTCTCTGATGTTTCCTATTGCGATGTTGGCATCCCTCCTTATATCCTCCGCATCTCTCCCACTAACCACTAGAGCTAGGTCGTCTGCATAACCTATTGTTGAGACAGAGCTTGGCTGTTGTATGTTTAGTACCTCGTCGTAAAATAGGTTCCACAGTGTCGGTCCTAAGACCGACCCCTGCGGCATTCCCATCCTCATACTGATGCCTCTTGCCTTTGTGACCCACACCATCCTGTCCTCCAGATAGCTTTTTATGACTTCCACTAAGTATTTGCTTACTCCCCACTTTTCGAATGTTTCAATTATGCCCTTCCAGCTCACCGTATTGAACGCATTTTGAATGTCCAGGGTTACCATAACACAACACTCCCTTCTCTTATATGCTCCCCTATTAACGTATTCAGCGATCTGTTTTACCTGTTCAACAGCATCCATAGTGCCCTTCCCTTTCCTAAAGCCGAATTGTCTATGGGATAGACCTCCTTTTTCTTCTACTTCTTTCAGTAGCCTATTATTTAACATCCTCTCAAACAACTTGCCCATTATACTCAACAGACAGATTGGCCTGACCTTTCAATTAAGACCAAGTTTGCCTCCTTCCACATTGTTGGGAACGACGTTTCTCTGACTAAGTTGTTGAAAAGTCCGAGCACATACTCTGGCCCTGCCCCCACCACGGCTTTTACGAACTCCGGGGACAGCCCGTCGACGCCAGGTGCCTTCTTATTCTTTATTCTCTGGATAGCCTCCTGCAACTCCCCCGAGCTAAACGCAGACACTTCCTCTGCGTTACATCTTTTTTCCCACTTTGTTTCCTCCGTTTCGGGAAACAGCTTCCTGGCAATCTCTACCCTACTGTCGTCCTCTATCTGTGGGGGGTGCCTACTTCCTACCCTTTTGACGGCGATTTTGTACGCATCTCCCCATATATCCTCGTTCAGCTCCTCGAGAAGTCGCTTCCAGCATTCTTCTTTTGATTTCTTAATTGACCGTTTTAATTCCTTCCTAGCAGTCTTGTATTCTTTCCTTTTGGTCGTAACATCCCCAGCTCTTTTGCCTTTAAACATGTCCTTCTTTTTTCGGCAATCTCCTCATTCCACCAGTATTTAGGTTGCCTTTTTCTTCCTCCGTTCCTTTTGGGGAAAGTGTTATTACACACCCCTATCAAGATCTCATAGAAGTCTCTCAGAGTTATTGTATTTTGGTCTATCCCATTGAAGCCTTCCCTTAATCTGGTCTTCGCCATTTCCATCAGTGAAGGATTAAAGCTCCAGCCCACCTCTCTGGCAGCGCCCGCTTCGAGAGTTCGAGACCTCTCCACATTCAACTCAAAGTGGATATTTTTATGTAGACTCAGGTTTTCTGTCTCGCTCACTTCCCAGTATACTATTTTCCCGTATATATCACCACTGCATAAAGTCAGGTATATATGGCTGAGGCTTTCACCTCTTTCAAAGGTTGGCGTCCCATCATTTAATACCCCCAGTTCCCTCTGCACTATCCATTCTTCCAAGAAACTGCCCCGAGGGCATGTCCTTGGTGCTCCCCAACTGGGGGATTTGGCATTGAAATCCCCCATAATTACTAGGTTTTTGGTGTCATTTCTCCTAATATCCTCGTCCAATCCTTGTATATAGGCCTCAAATTCTTCTTGTTCCTTATTTGGGCTAAAGTAGCAGGCATATACATGGATGCCTTCGCAAGACACCCAAACAAAACCTTTCCCACAGCCCATAGTGTCGTATCTCACATTCCTCCCGCATATACTGATTGCTGTAACCCTTTCTCTGTCCATGAACCATCCCTGAGACACCACTCTATTCTTATTTGGCTCTGTCACAATCACAATATCTATATTGTGTTCCAATACCGTCTGTTCCAACAAGTCCATGACACTCCTATCTCTCCCTGCATTAGTATATAGAAACCTGATTTTCTTCATATTGTAAATAAGTGAGTAAATAGGTAGACAAATAAATAACCGAAATGTATAAATAAAAAACTTACAACTAGCTAATGTATTGGGTAGTAAAAGAATATCACAGCACTATTTTATCTCAGCTCTCTCTGATTAGTATTTTTTTTTCGCCCTAGACAGTTGTCTTGACCTCGCCACAGCCTTTCGAAATTCGGGGCACACCCCTGCTCCTGCGGCATGTCCGGCTCTTTTACAGGACATGCACCATATTTCTCCCTTGCATTCGCGGGCTTGATGTCCCTCTTTCCCACACTTTCTACAAAGCTCAGACCAGTCGTCTCCCTCACATTCCTTCCTAGTATGCCCATACTTCCAGCAGCGGAAGCATTGGTTGACGTTCACCCGTTCAGATACCGTACAGAAATTCAGTCCAATTCTCAGTCTCTCTATCTCTAGAAGTCTCTCTGCCTTGACCGGTGACAGCCTTACAGATACCGCCAGGTTACCCCCGAAACAAGGGCGCATATCTCCCACCTTACACTCTCCGGCGGCTAGGTTAGTTTCTTTCATGATTGCCTCCTCCACTTCCTTTTTCGTTGTTAATTCGTCCATGTCTCTGATGATTACTGTTTTGCCTGGTCCTTTTCCCGCCGTTTTAACATGCTCAGGCCCCACTATATTCCTCTTAGTTCTAGTTTTAGTTTTTCCAACGCCTCCTTGTCCTCACTGTCCATTATAATTAGCATCTTGCCGTCCTTTGATTTCCTCATCGTTTTTATGTTCTTTGTCACCTCCTCTATTGGAGCTACCTTGTCACGCACTTCTTTCAGCAGATCAGCATACGAAGCTTCTCCCCCTTGGACTATCACTGCTTCCGTATTTCTCTTCCTAGGTGCTCTTGTCAGCCGATCTACATAGATTTTACATAATATGTTTTGTCCCCTAAAGATCGCCTCCGCAATTTTTTGTGTTTCCTGTCCGTCAGCGTCCAATCCAGGCGGGTATATTGCCAGATTCCTCCTGTCGTCTCTTGCCATCCGTTCCTTAATACTCATTAGCGCCTCGAACCAGTCCTTTAGGGTTCTTATTTCAGCTTTATAAACGAAGTTCGTTCTTTCTACGCCCCCCCCCCCCCTTCCAATCACCTGGTGGTGACGGAAAGGGCCGCTACACTACCCTCCAAATCCGCTGCGTCAGGGAAGCGTCTTAGGAGTGCCTTTCTAATGCTGTCGTTTTTGTTCCCAGGCTCTGCTAGTATGACTAGGTCCGCCGACCTATCTGCTTCAAGTGGTGTACCTTTCACCATCTGCGTCGCTTTAAAATTTTCCCTCGGCTTTGAAAACTCTCATTGTCCTTAATTGTTTCTAACATCTCTTCCTCGATTGTGCTGTTTACCCCAGCGTTTCTGAGGTCTCCCCTAAGGGCTTCAATTTCCCTCATCAACTTTCCATTCTCACCCCGAAGGTCATCTATTGTTTGCCTCAATTTACTCGTGATCTCTCTTTGCTCCTGTTTGTGCTCCTCCCATCTCGTCTGCCTTACTTCCCAGGACTTCAGTGTGTCCTGGGCGCCCCCGTCTCTTAGCTGTGCCATCAATATTTTTAGAGAGGCTGCCGCTGACTTTATCTCTGTTTTAGTATTTTTTTCCCTTTCCGCCTTATCAATGATCAATTGTACTTCCTTATCGACTCTACTCAGGACCCTGCCAATCCACCCTAGCGACTCGCTTTTGCCGCCATCGCCGCCCTTCTTTTCTCTCTTGACCCTACTATCGGGAGGTGTATTTTCCCCCTCTTTCTCTTTTCTCTTTCTCCCTCGTCCTCGACAATGATTACCTCGTCGCTAGCGCCTGCTTTGGCCGTCTGTTCCCTCTCCCCTTCCTTCCCCTGAGGGAGGTGTCTCTCCATCCCAGTCTTTAGTCTATTCTCGGGTACCGGCGACCTCGACACCTTCGACTTCCGCTGAAGGGATTGTCTTCCTCCCTTTGTTTGTTACTAACTTGCCCCCCTGGGCTGTCCCGGTTGGAGCAGGAAAATAATTCACGCCCTCTGGGACAACAAGACAAAATTATTCGACAAGCGGACCTACTAGATAGTTTAAGGACTTTCAGTTATCACATTACTAGCCGAAGTCTATTTGATGCTGCCAATACCACTTGTTTCCTTTCATTATTCAGATTACAAAAATTCGTACGCCTTGTTTTCTTAAAGCGCATACCATTAGAACTTTTGTGAAATGTATTTTTAAAATTACTTTAGTCAGTATTACTAAAAGAAATCAAAATTGTTCTGCTTAATATTTATACGTATTTAATTGCTTCATTTTATAGAATCAAAATGTATTAAGTTTCTTTTAGGTAACATCCATATTATGGCTTTTAATATTTTNCTCTGACTAAGTTGTTGAAAAGTCCGAGCACATACTCTGGCCCTGCCCCCACCACGGCTTTTACGAACTCCGGGGACAGCCCGTCGACGCCAGGTGCCTTCTTATTCTTTATTCTCTGTATAGCCTCCTGCAACTCCCTCGAGCTAAACGCAGGCACTTCCTCTGCCTTACATCTTATTTTTTCCCACTTTGTTTCCTCCGTTTCGGGAAACAGCTTCCTGGCAATATCTACCCTACTGTCGTCCTCCATCTGTGGGGGGTGCCTACTTCCTACCCTTTTGACGGCGATTTTGTACGCATCTCCCCATATATCCTCGTTCAGCTCCTCGAGAAGTCACTTCCAGCATTATTCTTTTGATTTCTTAATTGACCGTTTTAATTCCTTCCTAGCAGACTTGTATTCTTCCCTTTTGGTCGTAACATCCCCAGCTCTTTTGCTGATCCTAGCAATGGCTCTTCTTGCCTTTAAACATCTCTTCTTTTTTCGGCAATCTCCTCATTCCACCAGTGTTTAGGTTGCCTTTTTCTACCTCCGTTCCTTTTGGGGAAGGTGTTATTACACACCTCTATCAAGATCTCATAGAAGTCTCCCAGAGTTATTGTATTTTGGTATATCCCATTTCCATCAGTGAAGGATTAAAGCTCCAGCCCACCTCTCTGGCAACGCCCGCTTCGAGAGTTCGAGACCTCTCCACATTCAACTCAAAGTGGATATTTTTATGTAGACTCAGGTTTTCTGTCTCGCTCACTTCCCAGTTTACTATTTTCCCGTATATATCACCACTGCATAAAGTCAGGTCCCCATCTCTTAGCTGTGCCATCAATATTTTTAGAGAGGCTGCCGCTGACTTTATCTCTGTTTTAGTATTTTTTTCCCTTTCCGCCTTATCAATGATCAATTGTACTTCCTTATCGACTCTACTCAGGACCCTGCCAATCCACCCTAGCGACTCGCTTTTGCCGCCATTGCCGCCCTTCTTTTCTCTTTTGACCCTACTATCGGGAGGTGTATTTTCCCCCTCTTTCTCTTTTCTCTTTCTCCCTCGTCCTCGACAATGATTACCTCGTCGCTAGCGCCTGCTTTGGCCATTTAATTGCTTCATTTTATAGAATCAAAATGTATTAACTTTCTTTTAGGTAACATCCATATTATGGCTTTTAATATTTTTTGGTCTGCCTTCTGCAGTAATATTCATAGCGGGACACGAATTCAGAGGGATTCAAGCAGCAATTTTCGGATCCTTGGTCAAACCCCTATTTTCTTTAGGCATTGGGATCGGTATTTTAGGAATGTCACATAATATGGGAGGTAAGATCTTTTCTTGCTTTTAAGAATCAACTACGACTTTAAATTAAAAAATATAGTTTTTTGTTATGTCATATCATTCATTCATTCTTGTAAGAAATAATTAATATTTTTCTTTTAGGCCTTATTAAACGCATATGTGAAAATAAATATGTCTTGGTGATGAGTAATTTCTCATTTGCGACTTACATATTTCAATATATGATTATATTTCCTTACAAAGGAATTGGAACTTACTCGTTGATGGAAATTAATTTGACTAAAATGGTAATAAACTTTAATTTTGTGTCATTAATTCATTACTTTTAGTAACTTTGAATAAATACTATTTTCTACTTTCCAGGTAAAATACTTTTTAATTGTTGATGCACCAGTTTCAATAATGGTTGGAATTATTTGCAAGTTAATCTTCGAGCAGCCTGGAATTAATTTACAAAAATTATTCTTACCACAAGTACCTCTTAGGAAGCACAATCGAGAAAAGGGTGAATAAAATAAATTATTGTAGAAAATTGACTTTATTTTCTCTTGTTTTTGTTATTATTTCATTAAACGACAAACGAGACCTAGTATTTTATTTCAAAATAGTAAAAGCAAATACTTGTACTGTCCAATTAGATTCTCGGTAGTGGACGGGCGGCAATCATCAGATAAATATTCTCAACCGCCCCACACAAATATGATACAAAACTGACACATTTGCTCAAAACTATTGGCTTTGTCCGGTCTAGGAGTGGCATAGAGATCTTAATGAGGTTGCTTTTGCGTAAGAGCAGAACAGATTACATTACTGGTGGACGCCCCGGTAGACTACCAACTCTAAACGGAATGTTAATTCGCAATTTGAATTCTAATTTACAATATTTATAGGCGCCCTTGCTTGGGCGCCTAATTTTTTGACGATCCTTGACTAGTATTTTACTGGCAACGCTGTTCGGCAGTGGGCGGCGAAGAGTGACGTCATAGCAACGTACTCCGATTTATATTCCTTTTGTTCGGTTAGTCTCGGGCGCCAGTTTCCCTATCTTTTACGTGGGGGAACTCTACGTGAATCTTACCCTCCGTTTCAGTAGCTACAATGAAGAAAGTTTAATTTCATTGGTTGGTTATATATTTTTTTACTTTATAATCAAAGTAGTTCTTTGAGTGTAGTGTTATTTTACTTTTAAAATAAACGGACTTATCAGTTTAGGTCACAAAAAGATAGTAAGGCTTTTTACAGGTCGGAATTTATTAATGTTGTCGGCGTTAAAAATGAATACAAACTGGGAATATATTGATTAGATTTATTTTATATTACTAAGGTCTACGGAAATCGAAACAATCAAAAGCAAAATGGATTCTACTTACAATTTTATAAGCAACTAATATCAGAAATGCAAAAATTATTTACAAGCGGTGTGAATGATAAAATAAAATTGGCTGGAGCAATGATTTACGATGAAATTAAAAATGCTTATTCAGTGTTTTCGGTTCTTTAAATAAATACAAAATTAGAACGAGGTTAAATATCGGTGGCCAGGACATAAAATCGGTAGGGTAAACAGATTCAGTATTAGATGTTTGGTTTATTTTACAATAAACAATCTAATAGGTACTCAAAAACGATACACCATGAACAGTTATTCGGTTTTAATTTCGCTCGGTGCTAGAAATAAAACAAAAGGTTAACAAATTAGAGTAGTAAATAATCAACAAACATACCGGTCCGAAATGGCTCTGAAACAGAGAAAAATAATTACGGGTTACTCTAATTCTACAAATAAATTTGGTCGGCGATTTCCAGCAAAGCAATGGAAATTAAGCGGGGTTTCAACCAGCCAAGAAGAAAAGCGAAGCAATGCAATGCACAAATAAATAAGCAATTTATAAGCATAAATAAGGGTATAAATAAGCAAACGGTAATCAGGAAAAGAACTTGTTTGGTTCACAGGAGGCAAAGTCTGATCGAGGTGCACGTTCGGTCGCGTGGCGGGTGACAGATTTCTCCCGGAAACGGTGGAGTACCCACCCAAACTTCGAGGGCCTTTCCTTCGATGCACGGCCGACTCACAACGCCTTCCTCTGGTGGTGGTATACCCAGCCAAACCAGCAGTTTCAGTTATTGTACCTTATAGCGTTTATCGAGCTTGGGCGGTGGGATGCCCAGCCAAACTGTTGCCGACAACGCTGCTGCCGTACAGTCAGACACCTTCACGTCTTCCACTGGCGGTGGGATACACAGCCAAACCAGCGATTCGGTTAATGTGACTAACACCATTCGTCAAATGAGGGCGGTGGGCTACCCAGCCAAACCTTCGCCAACAACGCTATCATCGTACTGTCGGCCAGGACAGATGAACATAGGAAAATACAATTTACTTAGGTACTTATTCCGGTGGCTAACTCCTTGGGTCGGATGGCGGTGGCAGGTCTTCCGTAGGGTCCTCGGAGTGGTCCTGAAAATCTTCGAGTTCTGGTAGCGAACTGCCTATTTTCGGCCAGGAAAACTGGTTTTATTGTCTCGATCTCCCCTTGATTAGCGGGAATCGTGGAGAAATTGTCTGCGCGGCACTCGTCAGAGTGGAGCAAACGGACGGTTTCACTCTACGCGCAGATAATTGCTCTTGGCCAATTAAGCTAATTAATAAAATAATTGGTAAAAGCCTTGCATAAAACGGAAACTAAAACTAGTTCATTATCATTACATTTACACCGACGCGACGTGCGAAACGGGTTTAATCAATAAAATAATATTATTTTTCCATTTCTCTTCATTCTAGTTAAATTATGTGTGAAAGTTCATCATCAGGTCCTGCTTCATGCCATATTTCATGTTTTTCATTATATATTTATTATATTATATTTTCCCATTATCTATCTTATTTTGCTATTAAAAGAGTTAGTTATACTACGTGTCCAGGTGTGTATGAGGTTTAGGCCTCACAAAAATCAACTAAAACAAAATGAGCATCAAATTCCTCAAATCCAAAAATATTTAGAATTATGCATTTAATTATGGTTGCTATCAATAAATATAGACTAAAAATCAAAAAGACCATTATGACATTTTTTTAAATGTTCCCATTTGAACAATTTTTATGTAAAATTATAATTTAAGGCTTTTTTTACATTAAGGCGTTATTCAACAATTTTCGTATACCAAAAATTGAGAAACCTTTTGCGGGATTTCTAATTTAAAAACGTTGGTTCTGGCATTTTCTTATGAAAAATATCATCTTAAAAGATAATCATTAAACAGTTAGTAAAAAATAATTATCATAAATAAAATGAAATGTTTAAGTAATTAATAGAAAAACACATACTTGATGTGTTTACATTCTCAAATAATGCAATCATTCGAGGAAACATCCTACATTCTTTGACCGAGCTTTATCACGTAAAAAACAGCTACTACAAAGAGATTTTTTGTATCCGCATTTTGCTTGGGATTGTCTTATCAGGCACCTTTCTTCCCCTCTCGAAACAAACATGAACATACAAAATTATTTATAAATTAAAATTAATGAAAAGAGTGACGACGTTTGTCAAAAAATTATTTACGTGATACGGATTATAATTGTTTCTGTTTAAAAATTTTCTTATTTGCCCTTTTTCTTTCTTCATACATACACATATTCTATTATTAGCTCTCACATGTTTTTACCCTTAATTCTCTGCTTACCCTTTCCATATTTTTCTTTTCTATTTCCGTTCTCTTTCTAGATTTCTAAATCCATAATGATTTTATCCTTGTGCAGGGTGAATTACATTTAACGTCTTAAATAAATTAAATGAAAAACGTGTTTGATATTTTTTTTTTATATTTGCCACGTTCTCACAGCCAAATTGATTTTTTTGTTTGATATTTTTTTGGAAATTGAAGTAGTCGTAGGAAAAAATATTTATTTGCAAATTTCCGCATCCGTTGGTTGGGAAAATATAAAAAATAGTGGGTATATATTTTATTTAGAACTTTCTCGAAAGGGGCAGCGTTTCTGAAAGATCCCATCATTTCCAAAGGTATCATACTCTCAGATGCGATATTAAATCTGACCCATCTTGTATTGTACCTATACTGTACTGCAAACAAACTACTAGACACAAAACTGCAAAAGCTATTTAATTCTCTTATCGATTTGAGTACATGTGTTTTAATTTTTTTGATGTCAACATGAAAATATCGCAGATGGTAATTATTTTACAATCTGTAATTATGTACTATAATATCCTGGCCTACTAATGTACCGAAAGTCTCGTTTAGGTCAAAGTTCCTTCCGCTAACTTAAAAAGTTTTCATATTTTTGCTACATGTATACAGGGTGTTGAAAAAAGAGTGTAAAATATTTCAGGAGGTAATAGTATAAACCAAAATAAGCAGAAAAGTCTTAATAAACATGGGTCCGCAAAGTAACGGTTTCGGAGATATGAACCACTATTCGTTTTTCAAACATTTTATTTTATTAGGAATAAACCGACAAAGGAAGCTTTTAACAAACAAAAAACAAAGTTACAGAAGATGTTCAAAGTGCCCTCCGTCCATTTCCAAGCAGGCACGACATCTTCGTCTCAACGATATTCGAACTCTTTCGAAAACACCCTCCTTGGTTTGGATTTCTTGACACTTTTGATTAATCCGTAGCTGCAGCTCTTCCAGGCTATTTACAGGAGTACCATACACTAATGTCTTCAAATATCCCCAAACAAAGAAATCTAGAGGGTTCAGATCAGGCGATCTTGGAGGCCATAAAACAGGTCCGGCCCTTCCTACCCATCTATGTGGAAAAGTTTGGTGTAAATGCTCTCTAACGGCCATGGAAAAATGAGCTGGAGCACCATCATGCTGGAACCACATTTGTTGCCTCTGATTCAAAGGAATGTCTTCCAAAAACTCATAC